CGGAATCGAACCTGGGACCTTTCAGTCTGCAGGCTGACGCTCTATCCACTGAGCCAAACCGGTTTCGGCTTATTTTATTTTTTTTAAATATATTTTTATTGCTTTCAGAGTGAAAGGGAGAGAGAAACATCAGTGATGAGAAAATCATTGATTAGCTGCTTCCTGCATGCCCCCTACTGAGGATCGAGCCCACAACCCAGGCATCCTTCAGTCTGCAGGCTGACACTCTATCCACTGAACCAAACCATCTAGGGCTGTAGCAAAGCATTTTTTTCATAAGTTAATTTGATTGGTCTGTGCATTCTTGCTTTGATACTTAAAAAACAACTGAAGAGAGTCCTCAACCATTTTATTCCTGCCCTGGCCAGTGTTGCTCAGTTGGATGGGTGTCATCCAGTGCACCAAAAGGTTGCCAGGATTCCTGGTTAGGGCACATGACCAGGTTGTGGGCTTCATCGCTGTAGGGTGGGTGCAGGAAGCAGCCGATTGATGTTTCCCTGACATCTCACATCAATGTTTCCCTCCCTTCCTCTCTGTAAAAAATCAATAAAATATATTTTTTAAAAAACAAAACAGATGATGAATGAGAAGCAAATTTACCGGTTTTGCTCAAAGAAAACTCCTCAGCCTTGGAGGCAGTTTCCCAGCTTGCTATCTGCAATCATGCCATGTACATTCTAAGTATATTTGGCATATTTTAAGTTCAGTGTTTTATGTAAAAAGTACCTTTTATGCTGTCTCTTCATCAGGGCATGAGCTCCAGTGTTTACTGGATTTTTTATTTAAAATTTATTTTTATTGACTTTAGAAAGGGAGAGGGAAAGAGAGAAACATTGATGGTGAGAGAGTATCGTTGATTGGCTGCCTCCTCCATGCCCCACACTGGGAATCGAACCATGACCTCCTGGTTCATATGTCAATGCTCAACCACTGAGCCACTCGGCCGGGCTGTTTACTGGATTTTTTAAATACTTCAGTTGTTAAATGAGATGAAATGCTCAGCCAACAAAGAATTTGGGCCTCAGAGGGTTTTGTTTTTGTTAATTACCAAAGAAATAGGTATGTGAGTATATTATTGTCATTAGCACATGAGCTTTGAGGCCTCTTGGGCCGAGATGTGGGACCCACAGTAGTCTCGTGTAGTTCTGCTTCCCTCACTAGGGCTGTCCTCTGCTCTCTGTCCCTTTCCCACCCTTCTCCTCCTCCACAAAAAGCCTTTTTTTTTCCATCCTGTCCAACACAGGGCTTTTCTTTATTTCTTTTTTCTTTTTTTTATTGCTTAAAGTATTACAGAGGGTATTACATATATGTCCCTTCCCCCCCCCCCCCTTGACAATCCCCTGGATTCCCCTACACCAAAAGCGGGAAAGAAGGGATGTGAAGCAGGAAACGGAGGGGGGAGGATGGCAGGCGGGCTGGGCGCGCCTCTATCGGCGAGGAGAGCTTCAGATTGAGCAAGCCACAGGAGGGACGAAGTACAGAAGTGCACGAGCTGGAAGGGAAGGAAAGCATGGAAGTCGGTGAAGGCGCGGTGGGGTGTCTAGAACGGAGGTACAGGCTAGAGCCTAGGTGACAGCGACGGGGGGGGGCGAGAGCGCGGACGACAATGGGGGAGGCCGACGAACCGACACAGCAACGTGACGTCTACGCGAGGCGAGAAGATGCGACACGCA